AATTTGGAAAACAATCAATTTTAGAACTTAGATTGGAAGGGTTTAGACTAGCCATTCATATGAAGAGAAAACTTAGAAAACAAACATTTTGGTCAAAAATAATTACATAGTTATTTTGTACATTTTCATGCCTCCTTTCAGAGGTTTTTAACAAAAGGGTCTACTTGCAACTATGTTAGAAGGTTCAGGAAAGACGATTGCAATTATCAAACTTCATGGGAGGTTTCAGTAATTAACCCTTATTTTTTTCTTGCTGCCAGTTCTTTTCTTTTCTTTTGTGAAATTGCTGCCAATTTCATAAACAAAACAAAACTAGATGGTTTGAAAACAAACTTAGGGGTGAATTTAGGCAGGCTTGGGCTGGGCTTTTGTCATCATTTGAATGGGCCCAGCTCAAAGCCTGATTCCAAAGCAGTGTTAATATTCATTTGGGCCAACCCAAGCAGTGTTAATATTCATTTGTACTCCTTCCAAAGGCTCAGTTTGGAAAGAGTACAAATACAATTTTGTAGAGTGCAAAACCTTGTATTTTGTATGTTCTATTACCAAAAAAAATATATATTATTTTGTATGTATTTGCACTGTACATATTATTTATACTCCTTCCAAACTGAGCCTAGTTCTAATATATTCTTGAATTCCTGGTCTAAAGAACATGTGTTTGCCTGGTTAATTATTTAATATCAAGTTCCAAATTCATATAATTTCTATGCTACAAAAATTGGTTTTATTTTAAAAACCATTATTTTGGTTGTTCTAAAAACATGTATTATTTCTATTTTAAACAAAATAAACTTATTATTGCCTTTCAAAACAAGCACAGAATTCAATAACGTATTTTTTCATAAACAAATGAAAACAAAAACATTCGTATCATATAATAACCCTTTAAGAATCCAAATCTCGTGCAGTATGTTGTTAACACTTGCTCCTACACTTCCATTCGGTCCGTGACATCTGTCCAATTATATGCGTGTAAATACACATAGACATGAGAATACACTGGTGATGGTTTGATGGAATACCTATCATAGATGATCTCATTCCCATTTTAGGTTATGTTTGATTTGAAGGAAAACGTAAGGAAAGAAAGTGAAATGCAGAAGGTTTCCCTAGTGGATAGAAAGTGAATTCAAAGACATGTTCCTTTCTAGAGATGCACTTCGAATCGTGAATTAGACCCACACAAATAGACCTTTGAATATAGGTAGATCCAAATTTCATTGTTTATATTTAGATTTGAATGCAATTGTATTGTTGCATTTAACAGATTCAAATCAAATTCAGATCGTAATAGGATATTGATTGTCATTAATAAATTAAACTCGAAATTATCAAAATATTATATATCATTAACAAAATGAATAAACTAATTTCAATATTTTGTTTAACTAATTTTAATATTATATATCATGAACATAATAAAATGAAAATTAACTTGTTTGGAACTTTAACCTTTAACTTTCTAGACCAGCGTCCATGACCTAGGGTGACGCAAGTAACACTGAACCGCCGGCTCAAATCTATGCCGGCGGTTTTCTTGTAATGAGATAACATCTAAATCAGCTTTACTAATAAATCAGCCCCTATTTGTGGGGCTGATTTAGATATATTTGTAGGGCTGCAAACAGTATCCAACTGCCAAATTCAAATTCAAATTTGGTCTCATTAAGGATGATCCAATTTATATCTGTTTATATTTGGATTGAATATGAGCCAATATATCTATTCCTACATAATCCGATTTGAATCGATTTAAAAATATACTCTCATATATACTTTTATTTTGTAAAATGGAAATAAAGTCATACTGAATTTATATTGTATTTATTATTAATTAAATATGCATTTTTTTGTCAAGCTAAGATTATTTGAATGTTGTATTTTTACTAAATTATCGGAAATTCAAGTTTATGTGAATAATTTTTTATTATTTTTCTTCATAAAAGGAGGAGAGGGTAGGGTCGGGTCGGTGGATTGGCTCTAAAACTTGCATCTAATTTTCTATCATTTCTTATTACATATAAGCAATAAACATATTCATGGGGTGGGTGCAGGCTTTGCCTCTTTATAAACAAAAAAAAAAAAAACCAAGTCCAAGCTCGAGCACAATCTGGCCCTATATTGTTATGCATGAATACGTCTATAGCAGCAGTGTTGCTGGGAACGGCCGAAGCAAGTGAGCCAAGTGTGGTTGCACACGGTGTGTCGATAGGGGAGGATGGTTCGTTATCCAAAATTGGTGAAGGTAGAACGGTAGAGGAGGGGAAGTTATGAATGGAGACAGAGGTGGTAGAAAAGGGAAAAACATCTTCGTGAAATGTCACATCCCTACTCGTAAAGAATCAGCTAGTTTCAAGATCAAAAGACGGTATGCATGTTGCCTTCTTCTTATGGTGGAATCTCGGAAGGAAAGGATTTATGGGAGAGTACACTCTAGAGCATCGGCGCGCATTGCATCTCCCTCCTTATCTGGCTTCATTTGCAATAGCCAGGGCAACAAGGAGAGAAGTCTGGATTATTGGATGTTCGAGGATCTAATGGAGCAGTTCATAAAGCATTGACGTACGTCTCTCTGTCTCGACATATATATATATAGAGATACATATTTATTGTATTCTTTTCTCCGGACGATAAGAGAAAATCTTCACATTTTAGATACAAATAAAATGGACTTAATCGTTATTATTTGGATTCATGTATCTCAACGCTTTATCTTCTTTGTTTTCTATATCCCTTTCTACAATCCTGTCAGAATCTCAAAGTGGTCCCCAACAGCCCATCAAACCAGGTGATTTCTCTGGTACAAACATTGCTCCCGCCTTTCCTGTCCAAATGCAAGCACAAACATGCCATCTCAACCTCTCCGAAGAGCTTTTCGGCGGCGTCAGTGAGGCATGCGGGTGCAACCTTGACCTTAGCCGCTGCTGTCTGGTGCTCACCGCTTAGTTCTTCGCTGCACATGCTAGGTCAACACTGCAAGTACCGTCAGCTGTGCCCACGTCGACAGATGGTCCGATGGTACCGGATGACTCCCAGAAGTGCGTCAACTCACTTCAGAGCTCGTTGCAGAGTCGTAACATAAACATTCCATAGCCCAACTCCACATGCGACGTCATTCTCTGTTTCTGTGGCATTCGGTTCCATCAGATTACCTCGCTGAGTTGCCCCGCCGCATTCAACCTTACCTCCCACAGGAACGCAACTCCGACGGCTGCCTCAAGAATTTGGAACGGAATTACTTTAATTCGTCCTACTCCGATTGCACCAAGTGTCTCGGTGCGACGATGCCCTTGAAAAGGTTAGTTTTTTTTACTATTTCTTATCGTTTATTTCTTCCCATTGGCGCTTTCTTTCTTCATAATTCTCAATCATCTGCCAATACTTGAACGACAACCCAATTATCAACAAAAATATGTTGCTCTATCATCGCTTTCTGTATATTTTCTATTGCTAACGTGCGCCATACAAGCATACCAAGAATAAAACTAATCCTCCACTCGAGAAAACTAATCCTAATTCCTGTTAAATCGAGCTATAACAACCAATTAACACTCCATCTCACTAGAAGCAAGATGCTTCATCAAAATTAAATTTGCAAAGCACCACTGCAAATTCAAATCTGCCTAGAACTCCCAAGCCGAACCAAAAGAATTAACTCAACTCATACGGATCGATCCCAGCCAACAAAACAATCTTCAATCTCACTCTAAAAAACAAAGGAGAAAAAAATTAAAGATTATTTATCTCCGCCACCGATATGTAGCAACAACAAAAATCGAGATTAACTGTTGTTAACGGCAGGTACTAGTAAAGCTACAACTTCGAGATATTACGAGACATTTATACTGTCATATTACGGATAGGTTGATAAAGAAAATTAGATGATATTTGAAGGGTAGTTTTGTCTTTTCATGTGTCATTCAACGACTAGTCGACGACATGTATCAGATTATTGCATTTCGAAAGTTCGGATACTAAATTGTCGTGTTTTAAAGTTCGGATACTAAATTGGCACTCGGCTTAAAGTACAAGGTACCTAGCAGGAATTTTCACTAAATTAAATTTGAACTTGGGAATATGGAGCACGTTGGTGAGTGTCATCACTCGATTTTTGCTTGGTTCGTCGCCTAAATCCCAAACACCCGATCAGACCCATCCAACCTATCCGAACATTCAAATACCCAAAAAGCCCAACTTTTACCCTGAGAATCCCCAAATCCACTGTAAACCTAAATACTTGAAACCCAAATTCCTACGACCTAGATTAAACCTAAACCCTTGGAACCTAAATTAAACCTAAACACTCGAAACCCATATTAAACCTTAGCACTTGGAATCCAACAAGTCCAACTTCTAAAACAACTCGTTGACACAAATTCCTATGATCTTGACTCTCCAAGACTAATTAGACATCACCATCAGATCCCAAACGTCTCCAAATACTCACCTGTAAAAATTCATCCCAAAACACCTTTGCTTACCCTTCCATCACACCAAAATTCCATTTTAAGGTTCCAAATTGACCGGATTCCAAATCCTTCCGACTCGGGCTTAATTGACCCAATATAACCTTATTAATCACAGATTGCCCAAAAACCCTACCTTGTGAAATTTTTACCCAAAACTGCATTTGTTTACCTCTCGATTACATATATTCCATTTCAAGGCTCCAAATTAACCAAATCAAACCCTTTCCAAATCTGCTCTGACTCCACCAATCAACCCAAAATGCCCGAAAATCCCACTTTGTAAAATTTCAACTAAAAATATCCTCGTTTAACTGACACGGCCAATCTCGCTAACCCATACACACAAAATCCCTCTCTCCATTTTTTTATCCAAAAATCCCAGCCATTCTTCAAAAAACCCCGGCTTGACCCCCTGAAGCCACTTTGTCTAAATTTTTCCAAAATTACGAAAATACCCATAGATTCCCCGAATTTATAAAACTACCCTTAACCCTACCTATAAAAGCTCAGGCTAAGTTTTTCATTCAACACAAGTCCCTGTTACTCTTCTTCGCCATTGGAACGAAGAAGAGAGGAGAGGCGGCGGATACCTTCACCGATCTTTATCTCCTTCTCCTTCTTCCTCTTTTCTCTTCTACTTCTTTTTCTTCTTCCACTTCTTCTAGAATCCTCTATTCGGTACTGCTCATCTACCCTGACCTCGCGACACCAGAACAGCGGCAAAATCCTTCTCATTTGTCATTAGATATTCGGTGATTTCTCACCGTTTTCTGCGGACCAGTGCTTATCCCCCGTCATCCCCATTTCCCTCTCAGCTGGAAAAAACACGAATCCTTCGAAATATACTGTTCATCATCTCATTCCTGCGAACTGAACAGGGGCGGCGGCGGCTATCTCCGATCTCCGTTTCTTTGTTGCGTTCGCAGGACGAACAGATCCAACCGTAGCAGACACCACTAGAAGTCTTCTTGTTCAGGCGAAGCTCGCGACGGAATCATCTCCTCTGTTGTCAATCTCTTCGGTACAAACTTCTAGTCATCAACGCCGCTCGTGAGGATGATCTGAAAGCAGTGAACCGTTGTAGTAGTTTCTTCCAGGCCGACATACATCAGAGCTGACGGCGCTGGTGAAGAGGTTCACTGAATCAACTCGTTCTCGACCCAACCAGATCTCACTGTAATCTCTCATTGCGTTAATTCTTCCGAATCCACTGCCGTGTGTGTGTGTTTGTTTTTTTTTTGTCTTTTTGTTAATATTTTTTAATGATTAGATAATATTCTTGATAGATCCCTGTTTATTATGATTCGAAAATTGAACCTGGAATAGATAAAAAAACGAATCAGATCTAAATCCTACTATAGAATTTTTCATCGGAGCAGGATTTCCACTATTGTTTGCAGGGTTAGGTTGGGAAGGTCGGTTGGCCGAGGGAGGCAAATTAACTTAGTAAAAAATATAAATTTATATATAAAACAATAAAAATAATAAAACTGAAAAAGAATAAAAGGGTATAAATTATATAATAAATAAGTCGGCAAAAGGGGTGCAGTGAGATGGCTAGACTAAAAACTCATCTATGTGATATGGGGAAGAGTAGGCTATTGAAAGGGAGGTAATGATAAAAAAATGAAATAAAGGAAATTATAAAAAGAAGTATATAAAAAAATTAAATCAAGAAAAATAAAAAAATGGAAAGATGAATAAAAATATGAAAATTATAAAAAAAGAAGAATATATAACAGATATTCCATAAATCAAATAATTAAATAGGGTTCCATAAAAGAATAACAAAAAAAAAAATAAATAAAAATAAAAAAGAGGGAGAAAATAAAAAAATTTAAAAATAACAAAATTATACCAATAAAAAATAAAAATAAAAAAGTAACAAAAAGATTAATTGAAAGGTTATTTAAAATCAATTAGCTAAAAATAATTAAAAGATAAAAGAGGATAAAGTAAAAAAATTGATAATAAAATAAATAGATAAATAAGTGTAGGAATAGTGCTCTCTTATGTTGGCTTATTCTGGTGATTTGTTTTCTTTATTATTGAGTTGTTTGATTAATTGTGTATCTGTGATCCTGCTTGATTGAGGTTCCATGTGGGCCCCACCCATTGAACTCGGGAGAAGGGTGCCTAATCTCTTCCCTCTCTCATCCGAGTCTTACCCGGACTGATTGGACCAGTGCCTTGGGCTTTGGAGTCACTATTAAAACAAAGCATTTTGGAAATCATTCTCGGAGGTCCCATCACCTCCATTTCTTTATTTGATGGGTGGTGACTCCATTTCCAGTCCAAGTGAACCGTTTTCTCGACACTCACATTTTACGTTACATGACCATTGAGACGTGATGTCCCAACAACAGTGACATGTGCAGTGGTGCTATCAACGAGGGTGATTGGTGTGGGATTATGTGAAGGTGAGGTAGAAGTGGTGAGTGTCCTACAATATTGGTGTGCCCCTACAATATTGCAATATGTGCAACATTCTTTGGATTTGCCCCAATTGTTCGTTGTATGTGATTTGGAAGCAAGATTGGCAGTTGTCTCCTTTCTTTGAAGAAGCGGAAGATTCATGGTGTGAGAGGAGAACAGAAGTATTCACTGAGGAAAGAGTGAAATTGGTCTGATGAATGATCTGATGGGCTTTATCCTGCAACGTAAGTGAGTAAGCCCGTGCTACAGTGGGTAACGGGTCCATGAGAAGGAGCTGGCTTCGTACGTGAGAGAATGAGTCATTTAGCCCCATAAGGAACTGCATAAGCTGCTCTGCCCTTGTTAGGCTGTGGTTTTGAAGGGACCGCAGGTACACGAGGTAGGTGTGATGAGCATTAACAATTCATCCTAGAAGGATTTCAGTTTGTTGTAGTACATGGTAATAGAATCGGTCCATTGGTGAAGCATTGCGATTGACATCTGCAACTGATAAACTCAGGTCCATTGGAATGTGAAAAGCAATCCTCGAGATTTTTCCAAACTTCGGCTGCTGAAGTGGTGTATAAAACGGTTGGTGCCAGATCATAGTGCAAGGAATTTAACAACCAAGATAACACCATGCTATCAACTCATTGCTAGGCACGGAAGATTGGATCTGTAGAGGACGGTTGCTCTATAGTCCCATCTACAAATCCTAATTTATTTTTGGCAGATAAAGCCATCGACGTGGATCTCTTCCAACTTACATATTGTCATCGGTGAGGARTGCAGTAACTAGTACCATCCCTGGGTTATCCGAGTGATGTAGGTAGTAAGGATTAGAGGAATTCTCAGTAGATGTAGGACTCAAAAAGCTAAGTT